AAGTTCAGAAGATCTATTAGTTCAAGTTTTTAAGTTTCTTTTACCAATTCACCCTTTTCCACAAGACTCCTGGAATTTGTAGGAACCTGACTGGGGAATGGTAAATGCACAATCGATATATGCAATAACTCTGACATTAATTAACATATCCTCACAAAACCTGGTAACATTTTGTTAAAAATTATAAGTATCTTGTACACAATGAATGACATTATTTTAATTAAGTCTTTCTACTAAAAATGCTATATATTTATTGTAGTTATTTGCACTCTGTTGGACATACAAGATTGTTCAGTTTAAGTTATTAGTTATTTAACATTTAACGATTATTTAGTTTTCATAACAAAAGCATTAAAAGTTACATATTTTAAAAGCAATGGTTAGGGCAAAGTTGTTACATAACTCTGTATGAGCCATACTGTAATATTACTAATGTCACCTTACTCAAACTTCTATGTCTTTCTCCTTATGTTTAATATTGTTGTTACTAGAAGGCTAGATATTTCTAGATTTTTCTTTTGTGAGTTATAAATACGTACAGTTACAGAGAGGAAATAAGAAAGTGAGAGAAATGTAGTTAGCCTGTATACAAGTTTAGCCATAATGGGCAATTTCTAAAGTGAGTTTCACACTTTGTATGGTAGTAACAATGGAGATAAAAAATAATGTCTTGTCAAAGGGTGTTTTAAAGTAACTGAACCTGCCTGGGTGGACTTTGATGAAAAGAAGACAATTATTTAAAGCTCTGGATGCAACTGTGATAACAATAGTGTAACAAATTTATGTACATACATTTGACTTGTTTTAATGTATTATTTTAAAACAAGTGGATTGTGTGCTGTCTGTTTATTGTTGAAATTTATTGCCAACAAGACACAGACATCTACTGTAAAGAATCACAGCCCTATAAAACCTGACATACTCAGATTGAATTGTTCAAGTGCAAAGTAATTTTCATTTTAAGTATAAAATATTTTTCTTTATCTTACAGTTTGAGGTTTATCTGCATAATCTCTAGAGCCTCCTAAATGAATATCAAAAATTTTTAAGATAAATATCTATATATTTAATTTTCTCTACCATATCACTAACTACAGATATTATCATCAACATAGAGTGCATTGAAGTGTTTAAAATTAAGAAATAGAAAAATGTACAAACCTTTTAATTTTTTGTAAAAGATTTTAAAAATATTTTCTTTTGGTAATATTTGTAATTTCAAGTGTCATATATTCTTAATTTTTAAAATTTTATTTTCTTTTCCTGTCCTTTACCATATATTATTCATCTCAACACAAGTCAACAATGCTCTAGGGGCCTATTACAGTATCTTCGGGAGTGATGCACAAGCCTTTGGCAAAATTACCTTCCACACGCACAAGATTGTAAACCTTGAGAATTGGGGCAATGTTTGGGATAAATTTTAAAAATGTTTAAACCTTTCAATTATACATTTTGAAATATAAATAATACAAAATTAAATAAGATAAAAAAGTAAAACCTAAATGCAATTTAACTCTCTCTATATAACTATAACATATTTAGGTAAGAAACAACCATAAGCACTACTGTGGACAAAGCAGCCAACAATACTAGTAGTAATTACATCTACTCAATGACGACAACTAAGCACCAACTTCAAAATAACTATTGTTTGATTACAGTGTAAAATGAGCTATCTCTAACCACTACATACATGTGTCAAGTAACTACATGTGACTTGTAAAGCTCAAGGAATAATATAGAGCATGTAAACATACTAATTGTCTAGCTATACCTCTACCAGTGTTGTAGTCAAGACCTTGAGGTTTGAGACAGAGACGTTGTAATATTACAAAATGAAAAATAAATATCATATGCAAACAAACAAACTTTATTAACATCTTAACCGCCCACAAATCTTTTATACATTAACCATAAAGTGTTTGTTTTAATATCTCCTCCTGTGAAAAAAAAAAAGATCAGCAAATAAAACTAAAACCAGTATTGGTGTCATTAAATTATTTATGAAGGCAAACAGGATCACAGCAGATCTACTATACATGTTGAATATCTGAGATAATCACTAATGTTTGACATAAATACATACACAAGAAGTTCGTGTAATCTTGTAGTAAGCCTATACGTAATGCAATGTATAGTAGCAGTTAGTTTTGAATAGCACGTGTTATAACTACAGATTGGCATTTTGTGACAAACAAAAATAATGGA